TAGGCCTGCTTCTGAATTCGATGGAGTAAGTGTCGAGCTCGACAGCCCACTTGATGATGCGGCCGTTGGCCTCTTTGTTGCGGAGAATGTCCCCCAGAGGGAACTCAGTGACCACGGCGATTTTGTAATACTTGAAGTAGTGGCAGAGCTTGCGCGACATAATCAGAATGGTGTATAGCAGCTTTTGGACCTGAGGATAATGAGTTTTGGGCTCATTAAGGACCTCGCTAATGAAGTAGACCAGACGTTGCACCTTATAGGCGTGCCCAGCCTCCTCGCGTTCGACGACAATGGATGTGTTGACGACGCGAGAAGTAGCGGTGATGTAGATCAGGAGAGTTTCGTCTGGCCGTGGCACCGTCATGATCGGAGGCTTTGTTAGGAACAACTTGAGCTGCACGAAAGCTGTGTCTGCCTCCTTCGACCAGGAAAAGCGCTCAGAGTCCTTGAGGAGTTTGAAGAATGGTAGTCCCTTTTTGCCAAGGCATGATATAAAGCGGCTGAGAGCAGCCATGCAACCTGTAAGCTTCTGTATATCCTTGACGCATGTTGGCCGTTTCATGTTGGTGATGGCAGAGACCTTGTCAGGGTTGGGTTCGATGCCACATGCGCTGATGATGTAGCCCAGGAGTATACCGGATGGAACTCCAAAGATGCACTTTGAAGGGTTTAGCTTCCATTGATACTTTTTCAGGTTGGCGAACGTTTCCTCGAGGTTGGCAATGAGATTATTGGCGGTCTTGGACTTGACGACCACATCGTCGATGTAAGCTTAGATGTTGCGGCCGATCTGTTGATCGAGGCACATCTGGATGGCCCTTTGGTAGGTCGCCCCGGCGTTCTTGAGTCTGAAGGATATGGTGGTGTAGCAGTACACGCCGAAAGGCGTGATGAACAACGTCTTGATCTTGTCTTCTTCCTTGAGGGAGATCTGATGATAGCCGGAGTAACAGTCGAGGAAGGAGAGTAGTTCGCAGCTGGCGGTGGAGTCTACAACCTCATCTATCTGAGGTAGACCGAAGGGGTCTTTAGGGCTGTGTTTGTTAAGATTAGTGTAATCAACACACATTCTCCATTCTTTATTCTTTTTTTAACAAGAATAGGGTTTGCTAACCACTCAGGATGATACACTTCTTTTATGAATCCGACAGCTAGGAGCCGTTTTATTTCTACCCTAATAGCCGCCTTCTTGTCTAGCGCTAATCGGCGGAGTTTCTGCTTGATCGGTTTGGCGGTCGGCGAGACATTCAAGGAGTGCTCGATCTTCTCCCGTGGTACCCCCAGCATGTCTGCAGGTTTCCAAGCAAACACGTCGATGTTGGCACATAGAAAGGAGACAAGCGCGCTTTCCTATTTGGGGTCAAGGTGAGCCCCGATCTTCATGGTCTTGGAGGGGTCGTCGAGGCCGAGGCCGACCTCCTTGGTTTCCTTGGACTTGGTGGAGGCGCGAGGAGGTTCCAGCGAAGGGATCTCCAGGTCATCGGCGGGCACCATCTTGGCATCGGTGACCACACTAGCCATCTGGATGGAGAGGTCGGTGGCTTCGGCGAGGGCAAGACTCTCTATCTCGCAGGCGTAGGCGATGGAGAGGTTGGACTGTAGGGCTAGGACTCCTGCAGGCGAAGGCATCTTCAGCACCAGATAAGCGTAGTGCGGTACAACCATGAACTTGGCCAGAGCTGGCTGACCAAGTATGGCGTGGTAGGCGGTGTTGAAGTCGGCGACGTAGAAGTTGATGTGCTCGATGCGGTAGTTGCTTGTCGTGCCGAACTGTACTGGTAGGGTGATCTCTCCAAGCGGTTTAGATGTCCTACCAAGTACCACACCCTAGAAGGAGGAGTCTGAGGGTGTGAGATCTGTTATCCTGAGGCCCAACTCCTTTAGGGCTCCGGTGAAGAGGAGATTCAGAGCGCTCCCACTATCGACTAGCACATTTCTAAAAAGCACTTTCTAGACGGTTGCATTGAGGACAAGGGGGAAACGCCCTATGTAGGGGATGTCCACCCACTGGTCGGCCCTGCTGAAGGTGATGGGGACCTTGGACCAAGGGCGATAGCTGGGGTTGGCGGCGACATCTTCCATAGTGATGGCGAGTACCCGCCGGGCGGCGAGCTTCCGCTCTCTTCTGCTCTCGGTGGAGGCGAGGCCGCCGAAGATGGTGGCGACCACCTTGTCATGACCTAGAAGGCATTGTTATTGCCCCCAGGTGGTCGGCGACCTCCGGCTCCGTCGTTGGTGTCATCGTCCGGCTTTTTGTCTTGGAACTCCTTAGCCAAGCCGAGGCAGTCCTTCATCTTATGCTTGGCATTCTTGTGGAGAGGGCACAAGCCATCGAGGATCTTCTTATACTGCTCGTCATAGTTACCTTGGCATGAGGTTCATTAACGGTGGCGACGATGTGGTCTGGCCGACGGCGGTGATTTTGACCAGACTTGGATCCTTCTGGCTGATCACGGCCGCTGTCCCGATGGTAATTCCTGTCGTTGTAGCGGCGGTCGTTGTGGCATCGGACGTCGGGGCAGTCATCGCTGTGGCGAGTTGGGTGATGAGTGCCCACATCCTCGTTGAAGCGCACCTCGGCCTCCTCGGTGTCGGCGTACTGGTTGGCGGTCGTGATCATCTCGCCAATCCCTATGGGTGGCTTGCGGTTGAACTTGGAGCGAAGCTCGCGGTGATGGAGTCCTCAGATGAAGGCGGTGATGACCTCAGCTTCCGTGATGTTGGGAATAGAATTCCTCATCTTAGAAAAGCGTCTGATGTAGCTATGGAGGAGCTCGGACGGCTTCTGGTAGATGCGGTTGAGATCATGCTTGGTGCCCGGCCGAGTACACGTAGCCATATAATTGTCAGTGAAGACTTTTTTTAGCTCTTCCTAGGATCCGATGGAGTCCGAGGCAAGGCTTGTGAACCAGTTCATGGCGGTTGACGTGAGCATGATGGGAAGATAGTTCGCCATGACACTGGTGTCTCCTCTGACGGCGCGGACAGCAGTGGCGTAAGCCTATAGCCACTGTGTCGGGTTCATCCTTCCCTCGTAGGGCTCGACCCCAGTGAATTTAAAACCATGGGGCCACTGAAGTGTTTGGAGCGCCCTCGTGAATGCTAGGGACCCTTCGGGGTTGTCGGCGCCGTCGCCTGCAGTGTTGCCGGCGTTGAGCAGCTCAAGAGCTGAGTCTGGGTTACCGTACTCTTGCTCGTACTCCTGGCGGTGGCGTACTTCTTCTTCATGGCGACCGAAGCGACGTTCGTCGATACGTCATCGCGCATCTCGGAGATTGTTGAGGTGCACTCGGATGTCTTGGTCGACCTCTTGGTCGTGTTGGCAGTGATGTTCAATGTGGTTGCCCCTAGCTCTGCCCTGGAGGGGTTGCCTGTCATCGCGGTGCTGGTTGGTGAAGCGACTTGGGCAGCGATTGAATCTTGGTGCGGCTGATCGGCGAATCAAGGTTGTGGAGTATGAAGGTCTCTGATCCTAACGGATCTCGTTGACCTGACAGTGCACCGCTTTAAGCATGGCGGCGACCTTGGCGACCTCTGGTGTCTGCGGGAGCCGGGTGGGCTTGTTGGCGGCCACTGCTAGATTGGCGCTTGGAGTCTTGTAAACGTCGTGGCCATCAACACGGACAAACTCGCCGTCAATGTTGCGTTGGAGTGGCCTTCCTTGCGAGTCAAGCTGCTGCTCGGCCATTGCAAGGGCAGCCTCGTTTGCTCAGCGCTGCGCACGGTTGACGTTCTGGTTCTCGTGGACGGTGTGTTCCTCCTCGGTTTTGCCGTTCCGAGGGGGGCTGTCGACGCTGACGTTGAACATTGCGCCGCCACGGAAAGGAGGGAGAGGAAGTAATTCGGTGGTTGTTTCGGCGACGGTCTCCGTAGAGCCCTGGGACTTGGAGTCCAGATTCTCCTCCAGGATGGTTTGGAGGGATGCTCTGGGGCGTCGGTCGACGTGCAGCATGTTGACGCCCGACGGAGGCTGGTCGGCGAGAGGATGGACATCTCCAACCTGGTCGACGAATTTGCCCCTTAGGGCATCTTGATAAGTGGCGGCGACGTTGGTGAACCCAAAGGGTAGGGCCGCAACCCCTGGAGTTTCCTGAGCAGCCTCCGATAGATCTGGATCGGAGGGTGGTCGGCGCTAAACCAGAGTGTCCAGAGCCGATTCGGCGATGGAGAGACAATCGGCGAGCTTCAGACCAACCTGATCGATGGATGCGATCAGATCGTCATTGTTGATCTGCCTCCTCTGGCAGCGAAGAAGTGGGCGGCGAGTTGTCGATGAAGGCGACCTCGGAGGCGGTTTCGAGATCGGATCTGCAGTCGCAGGTGTTGGGGTGATCGGCGCAGAATCGATCTGCACCGGCTCGATGAGCTCTCCGACTCCGTTAGCGTTGATGATCCACGAGATCAATCCGACCGTGAAGATCTGGCCGGGCTGCGGGAGGGACGAAGAGCCTGCGGAACGTACCATCTTGTTCGATATAGAAACAGCACGCACACCCCTACCTAGCGCGCCAACTATCGACAAAATATCATCGGCAGTTCTCCGAGAGGTATCCCACGAAGGTAGATTGATCGACAGAGAGGCGTGTAATTAAGAACAAGAAGGCAACAGAGACACACGAGTTAGACAGGTTCAGGCCATTAGTATGACGTAATACCCTATTCATGTGGTCCGTTGGTTTGTATTAGCTATCGTATGATATTGTGTGTGTTTGGAGGGGGTCCCTGCCCGCCTTATATATAGCCCGGGGGGTAGGGTTACAAGTCAGTTAGATCTGAGAGATAACCGGAAAGTAATAACAGATTACAGGAATCATGGGATCATATGTATCCTAACAGATCTCGTAACATCTTCAGGATATCTTCCCGGTGTCTTGCGAGAGGCGCCGAGCAGAGTCGTGCCCCGCAAGGCTTTGTCTTGTGGGCTGGACCGCCCCTGAGGACGTAGCCCATGTGGTCTGTCGTGGGTATCCGGGTCGTACCCGCCACAGTAAATGTCTTACATGTCTCTCTGCTTGCTCTGTTTGAACTAGCAGGTCCCGCATGTTCTTTTCAGCAAGTGCTTTTGTCTGAAAATAGGGAATGTGCACGTCACCAAACTAGTGACAAACATTAGGCAAAAAAAAATTAAATAAACCCCAGAAAGGAGTATCAGCTATACCACACGCTCAGCTGTGCGTTGATTCCTCTCTAATCTTGCTTTATGTCTTAGAGCGGACTCAACCGCAACCACTGTTGCCAACAAATATCAAAGAGCAGAAAATAAGTCTAGTAATAACAACCAAATATATTTTTACAAAATGCACGCAAGGCTTCCAAGGAAAACATGGTTTACAATAAAGTCTTTCGAATATATTAAGTACCTCTGTTGCCGGAATGTGGGTTTCGAATGAAATTACTAGAAGTTGCCCTCTGAAATTGTGACTCCTGTCGAATATCCTGCATCCAAAACCCATGTTTATATTAGTCAGCGTTTTCTCTAAAAAGGGGAAAGAAAAAGAAAACAAAGTTGCATAGTAGTCTGAATTTCAAACTGAATCACACAATGTACCATACCAACGAAATAAACCTACCTGATTGGTGGACTTAAAACTCTCGCTGAAAGAGGATTTGTATCGTTCCCTTCGTTCTCTTGCCTCTGCGAGAGCCTTCTCAGCCTTTGCCTTTTCTATTGCCCGCTCCCGAGCTTCAGCAGTTGCTCGCTCGACTGCCGCACGTTCTGCTTTTATCCTAGCTTCTCTAGTAGCCCTTTCAGCAGCAGTTTCAACACTTGCTCTCTCTTCTTTCTCTCGGGCCTCTGCAGATGCCCGTTGCCGTGCAGAAGAAATTCTTTCCAAAGCCATCTTTTCTGCCTTTTCACGAGCTTCAGCAAATGCTCTCTCGTGTGCTTCTCTTGTCGCCCTTTCAACAGCAAGTCTATCCTTTTTACGCTCCCTCTCCCTTTCTGCCTCTTCCAATTTTCTTCTTTCCTTCTCTTCAGCAAGTTCTCTTTCTTTCTCCAATTTCCTTCTTTCCTTCTCTTCGGCAATTTCTCTTTCTTTCTCCAATTTCCTTCTTTCCTTCTCTTCGGCAAGTTCTCTTTCTTTCTCCAATCTCCTTTCGTTTTCTTTTTTCTCGTGTACTCTTTGAGAAGACCCTCCTTTGTCCTTCTCACATGCACTATCTGCTGTTGTCACGTTTTCCCTCTCTTTGGTCCTCAAGCTTAACTCTTGATAGATGGAGGCTGAATTCTTTAGTCCGAATGGGAGTCAAGCAGGGTACTGGATCCAGAGTCCGAGTGAGACTCGAACTGGTTGAACTGTTTCCGAGTCCGAGTAGGGTCGGAAATCGAAAATTTGTCAATTTTCTCGACGAGATCGTCCAACGCATTCTCAGATTGAGTTGGAAGGGCTTGATTCGCTGGAATCTCCATGAGGCGACCTTGGAGTGTACCGCAGTTGTCCGCCGTGTAGACCCAGGAACCGAAGATGAACACGGAACCAGGCGAGAAAATCATGTTTACGTCGAGTTCCGTCGAGCTCTCGATCGCGAATTCACTGAAAGCCCTTACCTAGCGCGTCAGCCATCGGTGTTTAACGACCAACAACCCGTCACCATTACCCATGATAGAGTTTGGGGAGCTTCGGCGTAGCACAACTTGGCGGTAAACGCGAATACAACGATTTATACTGGTTCAGGCCACTTGAATAGTGTAATACCCTAGTCTAGTTAGATGTGGTGCCTTTGCGTTGGGGTGTTGTATATGATTGATTGGATAAAAGGGGTGCGCGCCTGCCTCTCTTTATATAGTCTAGAGGGCAAGGCGTTTGTTCTAGTCATAGTCGAATACAATTGAGGAGTTTTAGTTATATTACAGAGACTAGCTTCCCTAAAATACAACTAGGTCGGTCCTTGATTACTTGGAGATCACGCCACCTTGTTCTGTGTCTTCAAGCATACCTTGGGCCGGACCAAACCCATGGCAAATAGTTGATCCTGTGGGAACCTTAGGATCCTGGTTCATCACAGCCTTTCCATTTTTTAGGCTAGGTTATTACTTAGGTGTGTTGGCTTCAGTGGAATTCATTGGAATTGTAGACATTCCTATTTCTAAGCATACTATGATTTAGATTCAATTCAATTCTAGAGATCCAAACGGACTCTCATTTGATTGTTAACATAAAAAACCAATTCGTGGAAGTTTAAAGATCGCATTAGCAAAAAATAATTTAATCAAACTAGACACCTTTGATATGTGTGTGGCACACATAAACTATTCATGTGCCAAATAACACAAACTCATCATGCACCATGTTTACTTCTTCCATCTTGAAAATCTCTCTCCCCCACTTCCTTCTATCATTTTTTTATTCTCTTGATGATAAAAGAACTAGTCTACTTTCATGTGTGTTATCTTTTACTTTTCTAACATTGGACAATCATATGCATGCTAGCCACTTATTATATACTCATGCTAGCCCATGGTTAAACGTGAGAGTTATGCACGACATTTCAAGCACTATTCATGCCTTTTACTGTCACTTATTATGCATAAGTTACTTGGTTTAGCACTCACCTTAATTACCACTCCAAAGTGAATAGCCATAAACACGTGCGTGCTTTTGCTTAATTACCACTCAACTCAAAGTTAATGGCTAGCATCGTGCACATGCATGCCCTTTTTATGACTAAACGATACAAATAACACCACAATAATTCTCTTGAAAGGGAGAGGAAAGAGTATTTCAACCCATAATTCTTACTCTTTAAGTCTAGCAACCATCACACTAAGATATTTAATAATAAGAATTGTTATCGTTATTTACATGAGCCACATTTTAGTTAAAGTAATCTAACATTGATATCATCTTCTTTTTTATAAATTTGATTAAATTTTAAATAGTTTGTTTCTTTATCAAAGACGGAACTAGAATTTTATCCTTTTTTTGGACGGAGGCAGTAGGGCAAAGTACAGGGGCACACACGAAAGGGAACTCCAAGTTCAACAACCGGAAGGGAAAAAAGAAACGAGAAACAAATCAAATCAGGTAGAGATCGCCTAGGCGTGCCGCAACATGCTCACCCCTACTACGTCCATGCCGACGCACAATCCTGGCAAGCTACGACGTGACAAACCTTGTCAGTGGTCACACAAGCAGCCTGGCACGTCCGACGTCCTCAAGCACGCAGTGGCGCTTCGTCGTTAGCAATGCTGCAGCTGCTAGTCCAAAGTATAGTAAACCTTGGCTTGCAGCTCACAGGAGCATTGCTTGCAAATACGCTTAGGAGTGAGATCTAACAAAACGGCTGCAGATTTACGATCACCATTCTGATGAACACGAGCACCAGGAACCGGCTCAAGCTGCTCAGCCATTCGAAGCTATTTCTGCCCGGCAGACGAACTGTGTCACAGTCAAGTTGAAGCTCTACCAAAATGGGTCTAAATCTGAATCATGGGCTATCCGACCTAGCTAATACAATCCGATCCGCCCGAAAAACAACCTGATTCTACCAATGCATTGCATTGAGTAGAACCGTAGATGGAAGTTATAAATTTCGACTCATGACTCGACCTAATCTGACAACAAAGATATGGCAACGACGACAACGGATCAGCCATTGCCGTCGGCGAGTTGAAAGCATCGGGGGCTTGCTGACGCAGCTGCTACTCAGCGAATTGCACGAGCTGGAGACTTACGAGCAATGGGGCTCTTTTTGCTGAACTGATTCTGAGATAAGGTAATAACCAGCATCATTTGCGCTGTTTCTGACACGGATTATCTAGGGCTACAACTGCATATTTACATCAATTTTGAATGAAGAAACTAACAATGTCGCTATATAAATATTACTAATAACGAATCGCCTGCCTCAAAATAAGCGGCCGCTTAGCTTCCTTCCACCCTAGCGCTCCTCTGATGTGAACTTGTTCCAAGCATCCTGCAAAATAGGTGGCAGCAGGTGAGCAAAGTTTCTCTCCTTTTTTCCTGCTTCATTTACTGATATTGAATCATCACATGGCACAAATAAGAGTGAAGAGGGAAAGGCCGCCTATCCAGAAATGAAGTTTTTGCATCAACATTTCACCAATAAAAAAAACAGTTGGTTTGCAGGCAATGCAAAGTTTTCGAACAGAGTTCCAACAAAGCAAAAATGTGCATCAAGTGTCTGTTTAATTGTAAAAGTTCTTTGCAACTGCTTCCGTGAATGTGCGTGCATTTTCCAGTTGTAGTTAATAGGTAAGACACAAGGGGCACACCAGCGTCTGCTTAAGTTGAGAAAAAGGGAATGACCTGTGCAGAAGCACAGGAAATTATCTAGCATAATTATCTAGGACGTTCACAGAAAGTTTGAAAAATCAGAAACCAAAGTTCTGTAACTAAAGTACTCACAGGAGAAAGAAAAAGGAGACTCCGGAAATGCAGCCATAAATAGAAAGGGTTGCTCTAATGGAGTTCCAAATGACCAGAGCATTCAATGTGGACAGAGCGCATACCTTAAGAAGATCAAAAACCTTCTCACAAATGTATTTCTGTCTGATTGTAGCGCCCCTTTGCTGTAATTTATCTGGATGGACACATAGGGTTGCCTTCCTGTAAGCTTTCTTCACAGCAACAGCTGTAATGAGATCTGTCAGTGGCACCGGTTGCCAGCCACTATCAGCACCAAGAATCTGCCAGGGAAAACAGAGCAACACATGATAACCTTTTCCATGTTCTATGTTACGGATTAAAAAGGTGCATGAAATTTAACTGCTTACGTATTGCAATGTGGATAGCAAGGCCCTCAGATTTCCTTCCTTTCCATTTGACCATCTCTTGATCTCAGGATCCATGAATTCAGACAACCTCTGAAATACATAAACACCAATACAACAACAACAACAACAAAGCCTTTAAGTCCCAAACAAATACATAAACACCAATACTATGAATAAATGCAGATACAGTAAGAATGTCCTCTGTGTGTAAATGTCTTACATGTTTCTCTGCTTGCTCTCTTTGAGCTAGCAGGTCCCGCATGTTCTTCTCAGCAAGCGCTTTTGTCTGAAAATAGGGAATGTGCACGTCACCAAACTACTGACAAAAATAAGGCAAAAAAAATGAAATAAAACCCAGAAAGGAGTATCAACTATACCACACGCTCAGCTGTGCGTTGATGCCTCTCTAATCTTGCTTTATGTCTTAAAGCGGACTCAACCTCAGCCACTGTTGCCAACAAATATCAAAGAGCAGAAAATTAGACTAGTAACAACCACATATTTTTACAAAATGCATGCAAGGCTTCCTCGGAAAACATGATTTACAATAAAGTCTTGAATATATTAAGCACCTCTGTTGCTGGAATCTGGGTTTCGAATGAAATTACTAGAAGCTGCCCTCTGAAATTGTGACTCCTGTCGAATATCCTGTATCCAGAACCCAGATTTCTATCTAGTCAGCGTTTTCTCTAAAAAGGAGAAACAAAAAGAAAACAAGGTTGCATAGTAGAGTCTGAATTTCAAATTGCATCACACAATGGATCATACCAACAACGAATACACCTACCTGATTGGTGGACTTAAAACTCTCCTTGAAAGAGGATTTGTATCGTTCCCTCCGTTCTCTTGCCTCTGCGAGAGCCTTCTCAGCCTTTGCCTTTTCTATTGCCCGCTCCCGAGCTTCAGCAGTCGCTCGCTCAACTGCCGCACGTTCTGCTTTTATCCTAGCTTCTCTAGTAGCCCTTTCAGCAGCTGCTTCAACACTTGCTCTCTCTTCTTTCTCTCGGGCCTCTGCAGATGCCCGTTGCCGTGCAGCAATAATTCTTTCTAAAGTCATCTTTTCTGCCTTTTCACGAGCTTCAGCAAATGCTCTCTCGTGTGCTTCTCTTGTCGCTCTTTCAACAGCAAGTCTATCCTTTTTACGTTCCCTCTCCCTTTCTACCTCTTCCAATTTTCTTCTTTCCTTCTCTTCAGCAAGTTCTCTTTCTTTCTCCAATTTCCTTCTTTCCTTCTCTTTGGCAAGTTCTTTTTCTTTCTCCAATTTCCTTCTTTCCTTCTCTTCGGCAAGTTCTCTTTCTTTCTCCAATTTCCTTCTTTCCTTCTCTTCAGCAAGTTCTCTTTCTTTCTCCAATCTCCTTTCGTTTTCTTTTTTCTCGTGTACACTTTGAGAAGACCCTTTGTCCTTCTCACATGCACTATCTGCTGTTGGCATGTTCTCCCCCTCTTTGGTCGTCTGAACTCCATGTCCCTCATTTTTCCATGTCCCAGTAGGGACTGATGTCGGAGCTTCAGCAGATTTAGTTACACCACACGTTGTCTCCAAGGGAGATGGTACATGCTCTGCCTTTGATATCCTTGCTGTAGTGTCTTTTTCTTCCATTACGCTTGCCTTCCTATGATCTTCACATGTAGACCTTTCTGTCGGTAATTCTTTTTCTCCTCTGTTGGAAACCTCTCCGGTTTCTTCAAGACCAGGAACATCCCAAGATGTCTGAGAAGCAGTGGTATCATCTTTCTGCATTGAGTGCTGCATGCGAGTATACATTTCGGAAGAGAAAACCAGCTCATCTTTCGAATTAATAATTGTTCTGGCAGTGCTATCACTTGTAGCTTTGATGACAACTTCATCGCCTGAAAGGGATTCAGATCCAACTTCATCACAAGCTGTATCACACTTTGCATCTACATCATTTTTTCCTCTGTTGGTGCTTTCAGATGAATTTTGGTCCTCCTGGTTACAACGAGCAGATCCTTCTTCAGTACCTGTCCACTCACTATTTTCTAATGCGGTTTCATCTGCTTCTTTGCCATTAATACCAGACACAAATGCATCCATTCCTTCTTCCATGTTCTCCTCTTCACCATGCCCTAATGACCCATGCATTTCTTGATCCAGTTCTCTTTTAATCAACTTGCTAGCTACCTCAAATACATTCAGCATGTTTGATTCTTCTGGGTCTGCAAAGTTATCATTTTGTAGAATATCATCATTCGCATCTTTAGGACAATCAGCGTCCAGATCCACAATTGTTACTTCAGGGTGTGCACATGGACCAACTTTCTTCTCAATTTCGACTTTCTGTACTTTTTCAGAGACTAAATTTATCTTGGCACCTTTGTTATGGAAGTGTGATGGCAGCAAGAGCGATCCATCAATAAAGCTGGATTTTTCTCTTCCATAAGTTCCAGCTTCCTGCTCAATTCTATTAGGTCCCCTCGTGAAAGCATCACATACATCAGATTCTTTAAGTTCTTCTAAAATCAATGATTTAATGTTACTTCCCTGGGAAATAGCAACATTAGATACATCTGAGGATTCCTGAAACTTTTCATTACTCCGAGAAGTGTGTTGCATCCCGCCATCACAAGATACTTCTGGTGCCAGTTTACTGTTTGTGGCCTCTATTGATGTTCCTGCTAATGGACTTACATTTGGACTAATATTACCATGGTCTCTAAGATCACTGGCATTTACTGATGAGCAGGCCTCTGCTAATGAACCTGACACATCCTTGAAGACATCCAGCTTTGTGGAGGTTCCACTTGTAGGAAGCTCAAGACATTTATCAGTATCATGTCTTTCCTTAGCATTTTCCAGTGTTACAAGTCCCTCACCAATTGAATTATGAGTCTTTTGGTGTGCCATATTTTCTGTAGAAGGTTCTAACATCACAGACACCCCATCTTTGTCCACTGGAGCTGTCTTGTCCTCCCTCAGATTTACATGTTTCACCCCCACATTCCTGCCATCATTAACCTCCCATAGTTTTTCATACCTGTCCAAGTCAGAGTCTGCTGCATTGAATTCAGTTTCCCTCTGATGATTGATGACACTAATAATGGGATCCATTTGCTCGCATTTATCACCTCCCTCTGTGGCATCATCAGTTTTGCATTTAGGATCATCTCCGGTTAGCTCAAAAAAGTCATTACCTGACTTCCAGTTGCCTAGTTTCTCTAGTTTACTGGAAGTTTGACAGGACTCAGTGCAGTGTTGCACCATGTGCGGAGGCTTCTCCAATGGAAGTACCTTTTTCCCATTGTCATAGAAATGATCTAATCTGACTGCACTTAACTTTTTATGCTTGTCAAACAAAGAATCATCAGGGTTCTGTTCTTCTTTCGATGACTTTTTCACCGATAGTTTTTGTTCGGAAGTATCGACCTCTTCAGAAAAAGGAGACTTGATTTCCGTAGACCTTGTGCTTCTTAGATGACTTGGCTTCTTCCGCAACTTAAAACTGTCACCTTTTCCCTCTAACAATGCTTTTGCAGCCTTTAACCTAGCTTCAGCAAAATCCATTGCCTCCTTCATAGCTGCTGATGCAGAAGTTGGATTGGCATCAACTTTCTTGTCAGTGTGAGGCATGTTGCTACTTGAAGTGGTATGTGCAGCAGAAGTTGAAGAGCAATTGTGGTTTACAATATTGACGCCTCCTTTAGCTGCAATCTCTTTCTTGTTGAGCAGTTTAGGTTGCTGCCTCAATATTGGCTGTACTTTGATTGGTTGTGTCTGTGCATCACTGTCAGATACCCGAAGAAACGCATAATCAGGAAGCGTTACAGTACTGCGTGTTGAATGAATATCAGAGTTCTTGTGGTTTTCATTTACAGACATACTTCCAGAAATAGGTGTCCATGATGGACTTTGCTGCTTCTGATCAACTGCAAAATCACTCTCAGGACTCCGCACACTCGTGTTAGCAGAGCTTGGGTTCTTATTATTACCATCATTGGCTATTGTGTTGTCAATTCTTGAAACATGATTGATTGCTGTATCATGTGACAAATTGCGAGAATCAATTACAAAGTCCAACGAAGGTTTAGCTGTGCAGGTCGTCATCTCAATTAGATCATCGGGTCTCCTCTCAGTAGTTTTGTTATATGACATCACAAACTGTGGACTTTCTGTGTCTGGAGAGAAGCATATTGGAGAAAACTTATGGTCTTTAAAGTGCTGACAATGATCCAGATTTTGATAGTGTTGAGGAAGTATAGAAGGCTCATCTTCCAGCTGGCTGGATTCTTTTTTAAACGATGATCTGTTAATACAAAAAGTTGATGGTAAACCATGTGACAGATAGGAAGCACAGACACACTTTTAACTACCAAAGCAGATTACAGGGGGACAAACATGAATAAAAAAGTAGAACAATCATATTACACTAAACATGTTGCTGAATTACAGAATGCAGATTGAAAAAATTAAACTTGATTGTTTTTGCTGGAATCACATTTTGCTGCATGTTATTTTCACTGAGATGCACTTCATATCATACATAAGACAATAAACACAAATATTTGATGGTAATTACTGGCAGTAGATATTACAAATATAGCATATTACATCACTCATTACCTTTATCAGCATCCTGTCAAAATGGATGCTGCAGCATACAACACTACAAGATATACATACGTTACAACCCCCAACCCCACCAAGTAACGCCTCTACTCATTATGGACAAGACCTAAAAGGGAAAAAAACAAAGGAAATGGACCAGATGCAAAAGGAAATTGACCCGATTCCCATCTCCTATCTCACCTCCCGTGGTGGTTTACCCGTTTTCATTATCCTTGCAATGCCCATGGCCAGCTAGCCTCACCAGCTTATCAGATGTAGCTTGTTGGCCAGCAAGGTCATAGTGCGCCATCCATGTTTAATGCATCCATTCCCTAGCAATACAACACATCAACCGGACATGCTAAAGTGTGGTTTGACCACTCTTGCACTGACCTGGCTGATTTACCCAATTACCACATCCTCTTCAGTTCCACATGTTCCTATTGTTGTGTGGCACTGGCTTCTTCCTCAGGAGGAAGCAGGGACTTCTAGTTCCTTGGTTCTACTACAATCACTGGTAGACCTTTCACCAAATAATGGAGGAGCACCAACTCATTTGGCGCTATAAGGTGTGGTGGACCCATGATTAAAAATCTTCGCCAATGGTTACATGGAATCTATTAGGGAAGATTGGTTACAACCTAATGAGACAGGGAAACTGCTCACATGGGTGAAAAACACAAATCAAGGGATGTCCATTTCTGTGCGTACCACTAACCATAGAAGAACATATAATATACATGCTTCCACCAACCAAAGTCAACCTTATACTTGATTTTAAGAAGCATTGAAGATTATTTATCTATACCAAGCTTGCTCGACGAAATTCGTACCAATCCTATGAATTTCGTCCACGGCAACTGTGGAAAACTTATTATTTTAATTCATCCTATCCTACTCTTCTTGAAAGTTCAACTTTGTTTTAAATCCATGGAAATAGACTGTGCTTGTAATGTCTGCAGACCGTATGAGGATCTCCACCAGGAGATCATACATCTTAATTCCAACAATATATATGAAAAATAAATAAATAGAAGGTCGCAAACGACGAGTCCTTAACAGAAACCCCCAAATGCCACAGAAGCCCAAAAGAAAGGTGCAAATGACACCACCACCTGATGGCACCATTTCACGCTAAGAGGAATAATGAGTGAGCAGAAAAGGCTCTGCTTTCCCCTCAAAGAAGGAAGACACCTTTACGAACCAGGAAATGCAAAACTGTCCCAGAAACGCCTAATGCCGCATAAGCAGCTTCTCCAACACTTCAACACTAACAACACTCTGGACGGAGAGCAAAGCGGCGTAAAAAAAAGGAGGATCGGAAGAGGCACCTTTACGACGAGAAGAACGGAAGATGTGCAAGGTAAAAAGCCCGCAAATCCCCACCCCCAATCTACCTACCAGCAGACTACGACGTGACACGGTCGCATTTCCGAATGGAGAAAGCAAATCGTGAACCCCACTCATGGCCGTCTTTCAAATCCACGTCTGCAAACGAAGAACGCCCAAACCGGGGAAGCAGCAAAGGTCGGGCGCACTGTTCACCCAGCCGGAAACACACACAGACACACAGGAGACGAATGTCGGAGAGGGAGGGAGGGAGCGCGCGCAGCACAGACCTGCTGGTGGAGCTCCCGCTGGACGAGGCGATCTCCGGGTCCGTCTCCCTGGCAGCCTCCGGCTGGGGCTCGGGTTCGTGCTGCGGCGCGCCGAAGAGGTCCTCGTACGGCAGCGCGAAGTCGGCGAAGTCGAAGCGGCCGAAGATCTCCCCGTAGTCCCCCTTCCCGCGGCAGGCGAAGAAGCCGCCGGCGCCGCCACCGGAGGGCGCGGGCGGCAGGTCGAGGTACGGGATGGAGCAGGTCGCCGCGACGCCGCCGAACACCTCGGCGTAGTCCAGCGGCGCGCCCCCCAACGGCGCCGCAAAGCGCGGCGGCCCGCCGAACACGTCCCCGTACGCCGCCCGCGCCGCCGCCACTCCTCCTCCTCCTCCTCCCACGCCACCAACGCCCCCCGCTCCCGCCGCCGCGGCGGCAGCCTTCCGGTGGTGCCTCCTCTCCCTCCGCGCCGCGTCCATGGCCGCCACGCGCGCCCACGCGCGAGAGCGCGCTAGGGTTTTCTCACCGCCCCGCCCCCTAGACCCTCGCCCACCCTCCGTGCACAGTGGTTTGGGGGAGGGAAGGAGGAGGAGAGGAACGGAGAGGGAGGCGAGCGCTGCGCGAGGTCAGAGTGGGAGGAGACGAAGCGCAGGGGGAGCAGGCAGGCGGGCAGGGCTTTACTCGGGAGTCGCGGTGTTTGGGACGGGTGTCCGTCCGTGTTTTGCCACACAAAAAAAACCGCCGCGCCTGTGTCGCCTCGTCCTTGTGGGGCATGCCAAATTGGCATGGGCGCCGCGGTGTGGAGGAGAGGGTTGCTGCGTCCGTGGTGCCGGCTGTTTTCGCGTGGTCTCGCTGGAGCGGATAGCGGAACGGATGGGTCGGAGCGGGCGGGGGATGTCCGTCCCGTCCCGTCCCGTCCAAGGAGGGGACGCGGTCGGAACCGCGTCGGCGCGGGTCCTTGTCGCTTCCTGCCTGATGCCAGCTACGGCGGGCGCGCGGCCACCGGGGGCGTTGGGTTGGAAGACGGCGGTGGCTTTGCGGTTTTCACCGTGGCGACGCTTTGGCTTTGGGCTGGGTTGCGGCGGCGATGGTGGTGGGATCAATCATCCTTGGCACGCTTCTAGGGTAGGTTTTGTGCAGGGGTAATCATTTGTGTTTCCGTCCTACTTAGTACTATACTAGCAGCGTGCTAGGTAGATCGAGTAAACTAGATATGACGTTTGACAGGGTAAAATAGCATTTCTTATCTTGAAATGTAAGTTAAGACAACGTACATATATCAATTGCCACGACAAATTTGGTCAAATGTTTGGCGATATTATACGGGTAGCTACCATTCTATTCTCGAGCATGGTGATCTCGTCTGTGCCATGCATATCGTCACCTGAACCGTCCGATTTACCCTGGACGAACGAGAAACGTCTCTTAACTGAATGTTTGGATGTGATAAATAGATAGACGTTATCCGAACACGACGCTTTACGCGGTTCAGTCGAATGACGTTAACATGTTACGTGATGTGTGGCTTTTGTCTGATGAGTTGCACATATTTCTTTTTCTGAGATTTTTCTTTAGTAGATCTTGTAACGGCTAAGATTAGATCATATTCTTTTTGTCTCTGTATATTTGACAACATTTGACTTATTCGGTGGACAGTCTTCAAATAACTTACTTCCACATTCGATTAAAAATAATCTATTATGACCGAATGCCAAGTTAAATTACTTTGAGATTGACTAAATTTATACCAACAATATGAATATCTATAATACTACCAGATTTGTTATTAAATATATTTTTATAATATACTCTATCTTATAGATATATATTGATTTTTTTTTTAAAAAAGATAGATATACTTTAAAAAAATAAAAGATAGATAGACTTCATCTTGCAGATATATTGATATCTTTTTTGAAAGAAAAAAAATCGATATAGATATACTTTAAACAGTTTGAGTACCGACGGAACAAACAAGAATCATATCCTTTGGAAGGAGCCAGTGCCATGATTAAAAATAGAGAAGCATTGCTGTGATATCTATCTTGCCGCTTGAACTGATGAACCTACTGGATATGCCATGTTCTCTCCAGCTCCTCCAAAGGAAAGGACTACTCCTACGTGCGATTGGCAGAGTCGTGCAGTTGGTCAACCACGGACCGCGGTCCTTGCACTGCATTACGTCCGGAGAGCAGGACGCGTCACGTTTGGTTTGTAAGTCGTATTTTTTTTCAGTTAACGAATAATATCTTTCTTTTATAATAATTTAGTCAACATCAGCCATAGCTTATCCGTCAAACGAACACGCCAATGTCCACCGTGGAAGTGGAGAGAGGGAGCTCACAGTGCTCCTCCACACTGTAGGAGTACGTCTGTAGGAGTAACTCTGTACGCTGCGATGAGGCCCGCTCTAGTGCTCTACCGTCTACCCCCATTGGATCGCCGGACGTTGCGCCAACGATTGCTGGGCCGCTGGGACCAGCCGAGCCAAAAGTCGACACGGTCTACATGCTGCCAGCCAGCACGGTGGCGCTGCCTGCCGGCTGCCGTCAGAGTCAAACATCCGCCGACCATGGGCTCGTGGACAGCGATGCGCCCTGCCGTCCTCCCTGTTCCAGTTCATGTCCTTCCCCTCGTCGCCATGCCCATGTCCCGAGCACGACAGCTCCAATCCATGGCGAGCCACGCACGCACAGTTGCACGGATGGCGCGGAGCTACTGAAATCTCCGCGAAAACGATGTGTCTGAACTCTGACGGGGCAGAGAGAGGAGCGTGAGCGGACAGGATCAGATCACAGACAGGACTCCCGACTCCGGAGGGTCCGGTGCCAGGGATCGGTCGAGTCGAGGGAATTACACCCGGACAACGACCGCAGCGGAGCCACCGCCATCCGATGACGAATGATCTCCCTCTCCGTCCCTCCCTCCCTGTTCAACGGTAGCAGCAGCCAACAGTGGCAGGCGTGCTCTTGTGCGTTTCACGTGCCGAAAGTGACGGGATTTGCCTCCTGGCTCCTGCAGCCGGCCAGCCGGCCAGCCGCCCAGGGGCAACAGACCGTGTGTGTGTCTGGCTCATGGTGACTGTTCCGTGGTCGACCCTTGTAAATGCCATGGCTTTAAATTTGTTCAGTCAGGCACGGTGTCTGTTTCGTGGTCGTTGAGTAGCTGACACTCGGACACGGATGACGGGATCAGAGTGAAAGCCACGAACACGCTCCGCTCGCTTGGCTTATAAACCGTATTTTTTTAATAAATTTTCTTACAATAAATCAGTCAAGAGTACTTTTAGTCATGACTTATCAGCCAAACAAACAGGGCAATGGTCCCTAGACGCACTGCTGCGAATAAACCCCAACGGTTCTCGACCTGTTCGCTGGTTGATTTCTGAGCTGATAAGCCCGACTGGTGCTGATTTGTTATGAGAGGAAAACACTATTGGTTGACTGATAAGTCATGACCAAAACCAACAAACGAACAGACTGTATCTATCTATGAGTACACGCACTTGTGGGCGGCCCCGTGCCATGCAAATTCTCTGCTCCAGAGGCTTTCGATCGGATGAGACTAATCCCTGCGTCTCGTTATGCAGCCTGTTCACCTATTGATTTTAGCCAAAATTTACAACCAGCCAATAGTGTTTTTCTCTCATAACAAACTAGCAACAGTCGAGCTTATCAAGCCAGAAAGCCGATGGTTTAGACGACGCTAAACCGGTGCAGATGGGACGGGCGCGAGATTACTTGCACGCTAAACCTTGCTTGCGCGTGACGGTCGTGGCAGACTGACTGACAGCGAGAAAAAGAAAGAAAGACAGAAACGGCTCGGGCAAGGCTGCGTCGACAGCGTGCACGCGCGCGTGTGCCGCCTCCCACAGCTCGAGCTCGATCGTTTCGTTTGCTGAGGGGGCAAAAGGCACGGTCCAGGGCTTGCATGCCGGCCGGCCGGCAGGGTCGTCGCCAGGAGCACGCTGGGTGTGGCAGTGGCAGTGGCAGGCGTACATGGCCGTTGGCCGGGCAGGCAGCCATCAGTGTCGTCGCTGGTCTCTGCTTGCGGCCTCAAGTGAAATGAAATCATCCACTGCGTCCCTGGACGAGTGAACTGTATGATGAGCCACCTTTTGCATGGCAATGGAATGGATTGTGGCCGCGAACACGGCGAGTGGAGGGTCTCATTTGAGCGTCCTCTGCCTGTTCCCTCGGCACGAATCATTGCCTCCTTCTTCTTCTTCCGTCCGGTGTTCCTTCCCCATCATTCCTCCCTCCCAGGTGGCCAGGTTCCCCAGCCGCGTCCTCATCCAAGTGTGCGTTTGATTTGAGGAGATGGGATATATGTATCCATTTATATCTGGATATGGTTATTCATGTAGCGTGTTCGGTTGGATGAATGGGGCGAGCCACTTTTCTATTTAGTTGGATGGATATCTGTTAGACGAGGCGAGACAGGGCGAGTTATTTTGCTGTTTGATTGATAGACGAGGATAGCCATGCTGATTATGTCATATGAGACCCACTTGCTATTTATTTATTTATTTATTTATTGTCAAAACATAACCATGTGAGATCTTATTTTGTAGATTTAATTAAACCAAATACAATGATGTAATCGTATCACAAATTAGATAAATGGTTTAGGAGATAAAATTGTTTTATGGTTGCATGCAACCATTGATCGTTGCTGCCACGTTAGCGAGACCCATGCCATGCAACGGTGGATGAGCTTGTCCGCCGCTTTTTTGTGGCCACGATATCCAAAATCTTGTGAGAACATTTCATGTTTTGAATATCCAGAATTGATCTGTCCACCCAACCAAACAACCCTTGTCCATGGATATCCACGCCCCATCCATGGAACCAAACACACCCCAAAATAACAAAAACTAACGGTTCCTCCTTTTCGTGTGTCCTAGCTGCATGATTAGGCGTAGTTTGGGACGACTCAGGCTCCTCGTAAAAGGACTTAGGCTCTCTGATTTTTCTTATGGAGCTTAATCCGCTTTCAAATAAAAATGGCTCTAGTGATAATTTTATTATATTTTATGCTAAATTTATAAGGAAAACCAAGAAACTATCTTTTTATTATAATTCATGCCAAATTTGTGAGAAAGAGACGAGAGATCATCACCCTGTTCGCTTGATCATTTCTGTGACTTATAAGCCGGCTGATGTTGTTTTATCGTGAGAGAAAAATACTATATCATGACTGATAAGCATGGGTAATACGATAAGCGAACATGGTTTTTTTTTCACGCCTCAGCTCGCCTAGTAGGAGAATGGCTGCGTCTCTTCCTCCAAGCTTTTTCGCCGGAGTTTTTTGTTGGATGATTGTTTGGCAGAGTTTCAGTGGAGTTAGAGCCAGATCCGCTCCAGAAACCTGACAATCAAGCCCTTAACCTGGTATAAGAGGAGTTTTTATTGGCGTCTGTTAACCGTCCAATCCGACCCAAACCTTTCTTTCAGAATTAATGGCGCCTTACACAGTA